CGATTGGATTTATGGCTCTTGATTCCTTGATATTGTTTTCATTTGCCTTCCATATTGACATTTTAAAGTGCCCCTATTATGGGTAAAGAAAGGTTCATATTTTGGTTTTGGGAGTCCCCAACAACAGGTTAACATGCATGCAAGGTCAAAAACACTTTCATTGTCTTATAATATGCATTTATTTTTACCTTACTTGCTCAACGACTCCCAAACGATTCGCTCAATGATTTATTTTTCCAAACCCCTCCTTTGCGTGACGCTAATCTGCGGTGATTGGTCAGATTGGTCTCATTTTCATTTCATCATGCCTGTAATGCCTGATAAAGCAGTGTTTGTGAGCGCAGTGCTGCTTTTGTGTACAGCGTTATCGGGGAAACCGTTATTTTTACTGCTCCAAAAGCGGCACCTAGTGGCAAAGAATGAATCTGCATTTTCATTCAGACCAACAGGAAAAGACCAACAAGTGGGCGGGCAATATGCTAATGTTTCATGTTGATGTCAACATGAAACGGCTTGGGATTCATTTTAAAAACTACTCGTTTCAATGATTCAGTAGACTTTTGAGAGACAATAACTTTATACACGGTGCACTTTCAGATTTAAAACTTTGCAGGATGTTTTCATTCACTTAGAGCTGTTACACACTGCATGAAAGGTAATTTTCAAAAATCCATAATAAGGGCACTTTAAGATGAAATTAAACAAACTTGCAAATAATGTTGAATCCGCATCAATTCCTGCAAGAGAACATCGCAATATTGCGGTATTCGCAAAACAACCGAAAATGATCCATTCTTGATGTTTCAATGTAAATGTTGACTACATCGTTTCGTTGCAGACATCATCATACGACTAGATTTATGACTCTTGATTTCTTATTGCTTTCGTTTTCCTCTCAAATCTTTTCCATTCTTAATGTTTCAATGTAAATTTCAACCACATTTCATAGTTGACATCATTTGCATATAATGTTGATCTGCATTGATTGCTGCAATCGCAACATTTCAGAATGATTAAAAATCATAAATTCTTGATGTTTTGGTGTCAATTTTGATCCCATGGTTTTGTACTTGACATCGTACGTCGCTCTACATCGTCAGT